AGCAATGATCTGGAGAAAAAGAGGACAAGAAGTATTTCAGAATGTTTTTCATATCTATTTAACAATGATAAAAATAACCCATGAAATGGCTTGACAAATGTCTTCTTTTCAGCATGTTTAGACAGGACATAATGTACCTGTACCTATTTTCTGTATATTTTGAATGCTACGGGATATGTATCTTCAAAATTGTAAATAAAATAAAGATTATTGGAGTACTTTATAAAGAAAATACTGGTCTTTCTACTTGAAAATGTCATGTTTTCCAATTCTATTCTATATATTCTGTTTCTTTGTCATACTTGTGGAGTTTACTAGCAATTTCTGAGTGAAAATTGTTTCAAAGTAAATCAACACAATTTTTAATGTATCTGCTAATAGGTACATATACACTAAAGGCCACAGATGTTTATAAATTCAACCAAACAGGCCATGTGCTAATTCATTTTACAAATGTAGATTCTACATCAGAGACTCGCTTAACTCATTTGTGCTTCAAGCAAACGATCTCCATAAGCGAAAGCCTAAATGTGAATCATGGGTAATGAGGCACCTGTTCCTCATTATCTGCACTCAGACTTTCAGTGGAGATGTTCTGACTGCACTGACATCGTAAGGAGGCTTTCTTTCCATAAGTGTTTTGCAAGTAAGCATTGTCGTAAATAAGGGACCTGTTCCTCATTATCTGCACTCAGACTTTCAGTGGAGATGTTCTGACTGCACTGACATCGTAAGGAGGCTTTCTTTCCATAAGTGTTTTGCAAGTAAGCATTGTGTTCAAACCTTTGTTCGCATCTCTGGTTCTCAGTGACCACATCTGGCTCATTAAACCCAACGGCTGCTTCATCACTGTTGAAAACCTTGCAACTGAAATAACTTGGATTACTATTACAAAATTTTATGGCATTAACAAATCAACTTTTTTTTAAGTGCAATTAGGCATATATTGTAAGCATTTTACACCAAAATCAGAATGTATTTTACGGTTTGTATACTCACTGCACCTTGCTCTTTATTTACACATATACACATACATGCTCAGGCAAGATAAAATGCTCAAATGTGACCCCAAAGGTCAGCAAAAACTGAATAAGGTGAATTTTAAAAACTCGTTTGAGTGTTTTAGGATGATATTTAATTATAAATCTATATAGCCATACTGAGCTGTATGTCTCAAACACAATACTCAAGTAATGACAGAGTGTGTGGCACAAGCTCAATTCATTTTCCATTAACTATATGGAATTTGTATTTCGAACATGACAGCATCCAATTAGAAAATTTAAGGACAGTTGGGGTTTCCTATAGACGAGTAAAACAGGGCTGTATTTCCTAAATGGAAAAACACCTACTCTTTTATATAAATATAATTATTATAGAGCGTACCCCTAAAAAACAGCAGAATAAAAAGACTTTGATAAACTAAAAACTGAATATTGATAAGCTTTTTATGATTGAAGACCTTTGCAGCATTAATACGGTTATGTTCTTGTTAATTACTGGGAAGCTGCTTTGAAAAAAAAAACTGTACTGTGTGAATAAATGTGACTTGACTTGAATAAATGATTGACGCATATTGGTATGTTATAAATGAAATTGAACACGCTCGGTTGGTTCCACTGAGGGCGCCGAGTATACTTACTTTTACTTGTATTAAGGTTGTTTTTAATGTTGGTTAGGGGCGTGCAGTAGAGGAGAGAGAGGGCATCTCTTGAGCTTGCCAGCCTCTTCACTGGGGGCTGGACTTAAGGAAAGCAGCACTTGTCTGGCGATCGTCATGACCTTTGCGCGTCAGATCACCACAATTGAAGCACATGCGCACCACCAGAATATGATCCACGTCTAGGAGACTTAAATGCATCTGTCCTCTTCAGTCTAAGAGTGCACACTTGAAGTCTCTGCAGAGGATTCCCATCTGCTGCCTTTTACGCACGAGAATCCGTGCGCAATGAAGCTCTGCCTAGCGCGCACCTCTCCACATACCTGAGAGAGCGCGCAAGATTTTACGCATGAAAATCACAGCTCGTTTCCAAACCCAACCATGGGCTACGCGTCGAACCAAACCACGGCGAAGAACGACACCGACCCGTTCGGCAGGAACGAAGACGTGGCCAAAATGGAGATCACGGTTTTAAGCGTCACCTTCCTCGTTGCGGTGATCGGAAATCTGTGCGTGCTGCTGGCCATGCACAACACCAAGAAGAAGAGCTCACGGATGCACTTGTTCATCAAGCACCTGAGCCTCGCAGACCTGGTGGTGGCTTTCTTCCAGGTTCTTCCACAGCTCTGCTGGGAGATCACCTTCAGGTTTTACGGACCTGACTTTCTTTGCCGGATTGTCAAGCATCTCCAAGTCCTAGGCATGTTCGCGTCCACCTATATGATGGTGATGATGACACTGGACCGCTACATCGCCATATGCCACCCTCTGAAGACTCTCCAGCAGCCCACAAAGCGCGCCTACATCATGATCGGGTCCACTTGGCTCTGCAGCCTGTTGCTCAGCACCCCTCAATACTTCATCTTCTCTCTGAGCGAGATCCAGAACGGCTCGGATGTGTATGACTGCTGGGGCCACTTCATCGAGCCGTGGGGCATCCGAGCCTACATCACCTGGATCACCGTGGGCATCTTCCTCATCCCTGTCATCATCCTCATGATCTGCTACGGGTTCATATGCCACAGTATCTGGAAGAACTTCAAGTCCAAGACCAAGAGAGGCACTCTGCACAGCACTAAGAACGGGATGATTGGAAAGGCGTCTGTCAGTAGTGTCACCATCATCTCAAGAGCCAAACTAAGAACAGTGAAGATGACATTCGTGATTGTTCTGGCGTACATTGTGTGCTGGGCTCCGTTCTTCATCGTGCAAATGTGGTCAGTCTGGGATGAAAACTTCTCCTGGGATGGTAAGTTGATCAGGGTTACACATGTAAATATATTTAAGCACAGTATTAAGTTTAAAAATAATTCAAAGACTTTCAGAGAGTTGACGTTTTAAATGTAAATTGTACTTTCTGGCGCGAACGCTGAAAGTTTGTCTTTTGTCGCTCTAGAGCAGTTAAAGCCAACGGTAAACATCTTAAAAGTATAAACAAAACACTATTTTTGTTTTCGTGTATAATTCTTTAAAAAAGAGCTTGATAAATTGCAATAACATATATATATATATATATATATATATATTCTATTTACCGTACATAAGAAAACAATCCGGCAGCTG